TTTCTGTTGCTAATACTACCTTATTTAAAAAACAAACCCAAATCATCCATCACTTGGACAGATGTTCATACAGCTCAACCTTTTGTAGAGACCATTCCTCACCTAAGTATAAGCTTCTCTGGCATTTATAGCTGCACACATTAAATTGAGAGTTACAATGCTTGCACGGTAGGACTATTTGAAAAATAAGATTGTAAATGCCATTTACTCTGTCTTTGAATTAATAGGGGTAAGAGTACAGTAGAAGTATCTTAGGACCAAATGATGGGAAGGGACTGCATCTGAACAAATAGTCTGGACAGTATCCTGTCTGCTAAGTTGTAGTGGGATCCATAAATAGGTCTTCATCTAAATGAACTATGAGATGGAAGTCCCAGTAATCTAAAATAACACTATTTTTTACAGCAATATACAAAATATACAGTGTTTGAGTGCAGGCGTGATCACAGATTAGTGGCAGAATCACAGCTGATCCAAAACACAGAACCACATGTAATTTTAAAAATTGATTTCTGCTTTGGAAGGGGAAAAAAATGCACATTTTTATACAAAATTGGTACAGCTGCAGACTTGACTAACTTGTTGTAAAATATTCTTTTTCTGCCTGGAGGGAAAAATTGCAACAAGAATCTTGTTTCCAGAAAAATTCTATTTCTCAGAGTAACGATCTTTAAGTACAAATGAAGGCAGGAAAAGAAGGATGTGTAATATAACCTAACTTAAAAGAAGTAAAACTAAAAAATCAAACAAAAAACCCTAGAAAGGCATGTTGTATCACAAACCTTTCCAAGTGAGTTTGATTTGGAGAAGATTATTTAATATTGCATTGGAGAGAGAGTATATCTGTGAGGTCAAACACTCAGCCAAGATTTATCCCTGTGCTGTTAGTTAGCTGGTAAAGCAAGTACGCAGTGAAAATCCCTGGCTATTACCTCTTCCTTCTTTTTGGATTTTTAAGACTGCTCACATTCATGAGGGATTGGAGAAGCAGGCCCTTTTTTAAAAATTTTTTTTTCCTACAAGTTTTAATAATAAGGAATACTTTCAGGATGAAGCATTCTGGTTTGAATTTGGTTTGTGAAAAAAGCACTTGGCAGATGTAGAAGGTGGTATAGAACATCTCTATTACAAATCATCTTTATAGTGCCTGGGGAGAGGTCAGTTTTGTGATGCCCTTTGCCAAGAGTTGCAGAGGAATGTTCCTGGACTGATCCTAGGAATTAAGGATTATGGCCACTATGTTTGTTCATGCATGTTCTGCTGTCTGGCAAGAGGGTTATCCACTTTTATCCTCTTCCCTCCCAGAATTATTTTTTTATTCCTGGTAGCAGTAATCTGTGCTGATGTGAGAGAGAAAATTGGAGCTCTCATAGAATAGTGGGTACAGAGCAGTACAGATCATTAGGACAAGTTCATCATGTACCAGTGTTGTTGTGCTTCTGATATACTTGAAATCCTTGTAATTGATATTTTGCCAATATACTGAAAAAAGTTGCTGTAATTTATGAAATTTAATAAATGATTGATTTCTAGTAGCAGAATGGAGACTGGGGTGTGTGATGGTTGTATTATAGCTGATGTAATGTGTCTCAAGGGTTCTGAAATAATAAAAAAGACTTAAATAGTTTAGTCTCTTGATGGAAGGATAAAATATTTCATTCTTCCTAGATGAAGTAGGTAAAAGTGCAGACAAAATTTTTGGTTTTGCTTCCAGAATATTCAAAGAGGTAATTCCTGTTTTGGTTCAAGGTAAGTATATGAAGTAAAAAACCCTTGGCCAAGAAACCCTGAACCAAATGAAGCTGTGTTTAATAATGAATAAAACTCAAGGAGAAATAAGGATTTCATTATTGTCATTTAATAATAAGTGAGCAACATTACAGATCCAGTGATCAGAATCACTTTCAATAAGTTAAGACATATTCAACATCTCCAGTTCCTGTCACAGAAAGCTTAATGTTGTATTACTCTGTCAAAACCACATTTACAACATTTATCTCTGTAGATGTAAATTATTTTAGCAGCAGCAGTAAGACCAGGAGAAATAGTTTGGTCCAAGAAGTATATGTTGGTTAATGCCTAATGGCAAATACAGAGAGTACCCTGCATTAATCCAACTGCATGGCACATGAAATATTACCACAGATTTTTGTTTTTGTTTTAAACTCTCAAACAATAGCTGTCCAGTGGAAGCACTTTTGAACACTTAAAGGCTGCTCACGTGTGATACAAGTCTCCTGCTGTCAGCTGCTGAGTGATGTCAACTGCTTCAAATGCCCTTTACAAAATGCACTATATGGATGCTGCATTCTGGTCTTCTGTTTCTTTGCACTACGTGAAATTGAAAACAGCAAAGCTGACATTTAATACTCAGTCTTCCGTATTTGTTTAGTGTAGGAAAGTTTAAATTATGTGTCTTTGAAATAACTCTTCAGAGGCCACTCAGGATTATTAAGAATAAATCAAACAACATAAGATCAAATGAAGATCTGTGACTTCGGCTTCCAGCAAAGTCAGCCTTTAAAGTCAAATCTGTATTCTGCATCTTCCAGTGAGGTGTACAGCTGGGCAGTTCAGAACATCCAAGAGGGACTGAGGAACAGGGCCTTATCAGAAATCTACTTTCATCTGTTTGGCACTTCAATCTGTGAGACTGTATATACAGAAAGCAGATTGGTGTTTAAGCTCCCTATGGACCACAAAATATTGCTTTCTGCTATCTTCAAGGACCTCAATAAGGAAAAACTGCCAGTCTTTCTTTAGAATGATTCCTTGGAAAATAGTGTTTGAAAAGTGTGGAAGGATGACATTTTAATTCAAGGAAACGCTTCACTTCCACTTACCTATCTAATCAGTTGACTGTGCTGACTTTAGCACTGCAGTGTGTGCCAAGGAGAAGGGAATATTTGGTTTCTCCTTGAAGCCATAGTCTTTATAGTCTTGTATCTGAGAATTTTCTTTTCTGAAGAAGCACTCCAGCATGAATGCTGTGGAAGTTGTGAAGCAAAGCAATTACATGTAGGTTGTGTGCTCATGTGAGGGATGTTCCTAGGGACTGCTGCATAAATTACAACAGTAATTAATTTCATTTAATACACAGTTTTGGCAGAGTTGGTCCAGGTTTTGGGCAACATCATGGAGGATATGAAAGGTGTTTTAGAATAACACCAGGTTTACTTCTTCTCTGGTATGAAAAACACAGGGTTGTGTGGGTTGTGGTTTTTTTTTTTTTTTTTTTTTAACCTGAGCTTTGAAGTATTTGTTTTATATTCACTTCTTAACAAACAGGTTGAGATGTATGCTTTTCCCAGGTTTATTTTAGCAAGTATGGTATGAGAAGGCATGGTCCTACCTAGATGTCCCAAGGTCCTGGTTGGCCCTCCAGTGGCCACTGCAACTTGCCTTTCTTCCTCTGAAATAAGGAGGAGGAAAGAATTCCTTCTGAACACAAGCCCAAATTCAAATCCGTGCCTCTCGTGTCCAGATTTGATTAATGTAATTCACATGCTGTGCTCTGGACTAAACCTTTTAAATCAGCCTCAAGTTGATGAAAAATTACTTTGATACCTGTGGAGCCTGAGGCTTTTCTGGATGCAATTCAAGATGCTGGGTTTTACCTTCAGGTCCATAAATGTCCCTGGAACTTTTTCAGTTAGCAAAAGGATTTTGTTTTTCTTATCCTCAATATGAAGAAGTAGAGCACGTGAGCTGAATCAAACTTTGTTTAATGGTGTGAAATGCTGTTAGCTCCTTTTTTTTTGTGAGGGTAATTCTTTGTGGGGAATTGGGGGAAAATAGTAGGGAGAGGAGGAATATGATATGCCATTTTGTGATGAATTATTGCTGTTTATTTCCTGGTTTGATGCATTCTCTTGACTTTTTTTTATGTTGTATCTTAAATGTACAGATGTGCTCCAAAGACCAGATTAGTGCTGGTCTCTACAGTTTTCACATCTCTTCTGCTGCAGCTCCATGCAGTGATTTGAAATAAAATGTCATATCTGCAAACTGGCACGCAAATAACGTTACTTTCAGTCTTTTTCCATTTCAAACTGAGGTGTCTGAAGAGCTCATGCAGGTTTAAAATTCTATATAATTTTATATAATTCTATTTGGGGTTATAAATTACAGCAGAGAAACTGTATCTATATTCACATTACAAGTCTAACCTGTCTCTGACTATAGGATTATGGGTGGGATAGAAAGGAAATCTTTGCAGAAACCTCAGCAGCAGTGGAAGATCTAGTTAGTATGTTTAAACTATTTGTGGCATTCTTATGCCCTAATCAGAGTTTTTCTATGGAAGTCAGTGGTTTTACTGCTCTAAATATGTTACCAGCTGCAAGTTAATTACTGCATATGAGGATTTGTCTCTTCTGAGATTTTTTTTTTTAACTGAGCTGTTGCCTTGTGGTGTATGAGTGGCAGTGTTGCTCTACAGGTGGATGGTCCTCTCTCCTCAAAAGCAGTTTGACCAGCAGGCATGTTCCTTGTTTAGTTGCTGATGCAGTCTTTCGTGTGGAAGAAAATCAGTGTGAATTTAGCAATTCTAGTAAAATCATTTGACAAAAGCTGGTTAGTTAATAACAGAGAGTTGTTGTCTTGAGCATTGTGTGGTTGATGAATGGACTTAGTAATAAGGTATTAGTTGACAGAAATGGACCATCTGCTTTTGTGTGCTGTTGAATGATGAGCACAGTGGGTATGGAGTGAGGGGAAAGGAGAAAAAAAATACTGGTGTTCCAACATGTCTTTCTCCCTCACTTTCTGCAAAAATAAAAATGAAAGAGTAGAGTGCATCTAAAAAATCCAAGTACAGATATCAAGTAAAATTATCTTAAAATGGCTATATAGACAATATTTGCATTTTCTGGATATTTTTCAACTTTTGTACTAAAAATGTACAGTGGCCTTATGGAAAGAAATTAACTGTATTTGTGTTGGTGGTGATATTTCTTTCCTATAAGTTTTCCTGTGCGTGTTGTCTTCTTATTTTTCAGAACACTTTCCCAACATGTGTGCACCTGTAGAGTTTGGAGACTATAGTGGCAATTTATGCCCTGCAATTTAAGGGAACCTTCAGCTAAGGTAAGTGTGTAATTTTTTTTATTGTTGTTGAATGTTTTTCTCTAAGACTCTGCTGCCAGTCTGAGCAATTCAATCACCAATTCTGACTGAGAACATGTTTTCCTTTTATAGACAGATAGTAATGCAGACACTTCATCACTCCTGTGTTCAGGTTTACTTATCTCCCCAGTATTAAGTGTGTTTAAGAAGCTTACTTGTCCAGTATTTTTCTTGCTGCCTTTGCAGGGTAAGTGACTCTCCATCCACTCTCTCAGCAGTACACTCTGAAGGATCCATCATGATTGTGCAACTGTGGGTTATGCCCCATTGTACTTGCAGAAAATTATGAAAATTTAATATAAAGACTATTTCATATAGTTTCTCTTGTCCCTCTCTAAAAAGCCTTCTTATTGAAGTGTTTTCTGTATCTCGTTGTTTTATTTGTTTCTCTTTGTTTGTTTTTTGGGTTTTTTTTCTTTGTTCTTAGTCATCAAATGACTTCTTATTATTCAAGTGTTTTTTGTATCTCATTGTTTTATTTGTTTTTTCTGTTTGTTTTTTGGTTGTTTTTCTTTGTTCTTAGTCATCAAATGTGATTATTTTTTTTCCTCCAAAAGGATACTGTGGGAAATGTGACCTTCATCTAAACCTTGCTTGCTGCTGTACATCTTTTAACAGGAGCACCTGCTGTTACTCTGGTCTTGCAGTGGATGCCAGATAGTTAAAAGGACAGTACCCTTTATAACTATGATTTTTGCAGTACTCATCTAATCTGTATTTAACTGGAATTTAATGTGTCCTGCAGGGGATGACAATACTTATCTCATATATTGTCATTAGCCTGGGATAGTAACCTTGAGGGAGGAGAAGCTTAATAAGACTTTATTTGCTTCTAACTCTTGCTATGAAAATGTTGGCCTTTCTTGTGGGTGTGATACCCACTGCTTAATGGAGCAGGCACGGGTGTAGTGGCTGGGGAGATCTCCAAAAGTACTTCAATCATACTGTCCCATGCCAAGAGGCTCAGTACAGAGAACAATACAAACCTGATGAGAAAACTGAGGCAAATCAGTGGCCCAATCCTCCTTAAAGCATACAAGTGCAGCAGAAACCAGAGGGAGAAAGAAGGTGCTCCTGTCCAGGCAGCTGATTTTCTCTTATGCTCCCTATCCCAAATCTTCCTCTTCCTTCCCCTCCCTAATCATAAACCTTCCTATTCCTCCACAAATTAATTTTGTATTCAGCAAACATAAATTGCTTGTATAAGGGTTCCTTCAGGAACACAAATGCACATTCCTGTTAACTTTGCAAAATATACCCAAACAAAGTGCTTCATGTATTCTGTGATTATTTTTTAAGAGAGATTTTGGGCAGGAGACCAAAACTAGTGAACACTTTTATTAATGCAGTATAGTAGCAGATGGTCAGAAACAGCCCATGGACTCAATGCCTCTTTTGAAGTCTAATATGATACTAAGTAGCAGAAGTAAAGATAACGAGGTGAGCAATTTGGTTTATGACAAGCAGGGGAAGAAATTTGCTTTCAATTAACCTACCAACATATGAGACCAAGGTTAAAATTTTCAGAAATATAGCAGCAATTTGGGTTTTAGTGCTGTTCAAAGTTGCATCATATTTTCCACCAAAAAAAAATAAGTATTGAAGTGAGTGCTTTTAGGCTGGATTTGTAGTTGAGGATCATGGGAAGAGTTGCAGTAAAAGCACAGGCCAGATGAGTTACTCTGGGTTTATAGGCTGATACATTACATAGTGTTGCTCCCATTGTCTTCAATGACTGGTAAAGTGAAGCTTTCAGATACTTTTCACATATATTAAATATTTACTTCTAGGAAAAGGTGGAATTTATTCTAATTATTCTGTTTCCAATTACTAAACCATATGCACATAACCTAAACTCCTTAAAAATGTAAGTACTTGAGTTACTGAGTGTCCTGGTGTGTGTGGAGGTACCCATGATGGTTTGATACTTGAATTTATGCTTTTATTAATACATTACTCTTATTAATGGATGTCTTATACACTTTATACCTAGAAATTTAATTTTTATCTTTGTGTAATGTGCACAGATGACACTTTTTACAAACTTATTTAGCAGAACAAGATTTTTATGTGTTTACCAATGTGTATTTTTTTATACTTATAAACATTTCCTGGTCCTAAAAGAGAATGGACAGTATGAGGTGTGGAACTGCCCCTGGAATTTAGGGCTGGAGCACTGTTCACCACTTGCCTTGGCTGGGAGCTGTCCCAATGTGGTTGTGTCAGGGAACCTGTGTGTGTTCCACCATTCACTCTACAGTGACATACCAGGCCTGAGGATGTGCATGACGCATTGATGTGGAGCTTATCTTCAGCCCTTTTCACCTCAAACTGTTGTGTTTTTCTCCTGAATTAAGTAAATAATAATAATAAAAGAATCTGGATATTCTGAGTAACACTAAATGGAGGTCTCCAATGTTGTGTACGTGTGTAAACTATAGCTCTTAACCTTTTAATATAAGTTTCACTTTGCTCAGCATATAATATTCTGTCATATAAAGAACTGGTGTACAAATCCTAGAGGATGAGATCTTGCTAAAATGACCAGTTGCTTAATATCTTGGAAGATAAAAGTCACAAAACCTAAATTTTACCCGCATGTTTAGGGCAGGGTATTTGAAGATTTCTTTTATTATACTGGTACTGTGTCACATGCTTGTTGTAAACCTCCAGAAGCACTGAAGAGTGACGCAGATTATCTTTTCAGTGCTTGCCTCTTGCTCCAAGGCCAATACTGTTACTGGTTACAGATTTTTTATGTCCTGGAGGCTATTACTTCCAGGCTTTAGTAACTCCACATCCATTTCCATATGAAATGCATTTCCTGCAGTCCCTTTGTAGGACTAATGAGTCCAATAAACTTGTTAAAGGGATCTAAAGACTTTTCATGCAGTTCAAATGAGTTCATGTGGAAAAAATTAGCAATCCTCATGCTTGTTAAGTTTACAGTCTATCTGCTAGATCAGAGGGAATCTACCTTTCAGTTATGTTTTGTCACTTGTCTACCTGAAAAAATGTTTGTAATAGCATGAATTCACATATGAGGGTATTATCAGCAGCATTTACAATGCTGAGGCTTGAAGTTGATCTTCTATCAGTCTCCACATTATTTTATGATAGTGCAACCCTTTTAATTTCCAAATCCCACTCTTGTGCCTTTTTTCCCCATAAGCTTTGTGCTCCTAGAGAACATAAAGGAAATTATATGTATAAGCAAGTCCCCTGTGAGTTGAGTTCTAATGCTATGATGGGATTAGATTAACTTTGCACAATTCTGATTCTCATTATGAGCCCTGTCAGAAAGCTGGATTCATATTGTGCCATTTTCTATCCTCATTACCACTTTTGTCACAAAAATGAAATTTTTCATCTGTCATACAGGCTGGAAAAGACAGAAGCTGGCAACAGTAGTGTGATAACCTTTCTAGTGCTGTGCAGTTTGACAGGCTGTGCCTTTCTGCTTTGCTCACTTTAATGGTTTCTCAACCTGTGAGAAGGAGAGAAGGGATGGATATCCATCTCAAGGTATAATATATGATTAATAGTGCTGTCTGTATTCAGAGGACTTCAACTTTCCAAACTGAGCTGTTTGCAAAAAGAATGGCAAATATTAGAAACATTGGTATTGCTCACTGGGCCCTGTTTTCATTTTCATGTTGAACTTATTCTAAAAATATTAAATAATCTAATTTATACCTGTGTTTCCACAAATTCTTGATGGCTTTGGTGTGCTAGTTTACGTGTCCCAAACAACAAAGTTCCTCCGTCAAACAGATATGACCAACTGCCAGTGTTTTATAATATTTGACCTAAAATTTACTACTTTTAATTTATTTTCATTAACATAGTTTAATGCCCTGCAAATTACCCTGCTATATAAAATTCCTGCCCTTCTTTACTGTTTATGTCAGTAGACCAGAGAAATATTGCTGTCTTTTCATTATTCCTCAAATGCTCTGTAATGAAAACTACAATAAAAGGGTTTTGGGTAGATATCCTTCATTTTTATGTCTCACATTTGTAATACCTCCTGACCTTCTCTATCTGGAAGAGAAAATAATTTATGGTTCTGTGTCTATATCTTCCCTGTGATGGTATCCTGATCAAACTACCTGCATGATGAGAGAGTGTGATAGCACTGCTCCTGTAAGGACTAGCAGAGAGATGCTAGGATGCTGCATGATGAAGTTAATAAATTTTTGCCTGAGTGAGAGCTGCTGAATTGTGGATGCCCAAAGGCCTCAGTTGTTAATACAAAAAGGCCTCATAAGTAAATATACAGTAGTGTTTTGTAAGAATAGGGCAGGAACCACAACCTGTGGTTGTGAGAGACAGTGTGTTTGGAGAAAGTTCTTGTGATACACCCTTGTAAATTATAGTCTGACCATTTCTTGCCCACGTTTTCCTTCTGAAATGTATTGACTGACCAAATGTCACAAAGGTGCTCATCCTATCTGCAGTACCTTGTAAGAATGAAATACATCGTACAGGGCGTTATGCAAAGGACATCAGGCTTTGTAAATTGTGGTATTTGTCAAACTGATTTGTGTAACTAAGCTTTCGTCAGCACAGTGGGTTCTTGGAAGTAAACACAGTTTTCTTGTATTTAAATGTAATAGGTGTGCCTACTTATTGAATAAATATGTCTAAGAGCATTTCTACAGCAAATGTGAAAATATGGAAAAAATCTTCATTGTGCTAAATTCTTTTCTTTAAGGGCCTTTACAGAAACACAGGGGTTATAAAATACGTCTGTCACAGCTCCTAAGTGTTACACAAGCGCGCCTTTACATGAAGACATCTGGAACATAAAGTTCAACTAAATCACTGAAGATTCCATCTCAAATGCAATCTATTTCAATGTGACCTTACATCAGAGAGCACTTGAACTTTGCCTGATGGCAGGCAAGGTCTGACTCCAGCTCTCTCTTATCCTTTCACAGAGCTGCATATCTTGCCTC